CTTTCCTCAACCTATATACACACCCACCTACTTCTGCTGCTCCTTACTTCCCAGTCCTGTGACCACACTCCTAGAAAAAGGACAGTTTTGAGCCCGTAACATCTAGTACCACTTTCTAGAAATAGGAATGATGAAACTAAATTACAGTAATATAGAGGTATCTGGAAACCTCAATCCCACATGCACAGCAATAAAAAGAAGGAAAAGTGTTCTTTTAAATCAGGCTGTGTTAATCAGGAGGTCAGAAGAAAGATAAAAGAACAGTACAGAGAAAATGCAAAGGTGGGTGAGAAGATGGAGAATGTGGAAGGCTCTTGCATTTTAAAATTAATTTTGTAAATCCAAACGTTCTTTGCTTCTCTATTGAAGGGTCAGCCACAAAACTCCAATGGAATAAAAAGATGCTATTAAAGGCACATAGAGAATGAGGCTATCATACTGCACGCAAGAGAGAGTTGCAGTGACTGAGGTAAAGCCTGATGACACAGTTATGTTTTCAAGGGTTTTTTATATAATGCTGTAAATTCATTCTAACGTTTCTTGAAGATGGGCTGCTCGAGTCACCTTCACCTCTGAGTATTTCCAGTGCAGGTGGTGACATGGCAGTGCACATGTCACAGCCTCCCAGTGGCATTTATAAATGGAGCATCCTCCACAAGGCCTCCACCTTCTGCTGTTGCAATTTAACTGCAGCAACTGGCCTCAACTGTAGCAATACAGTACCAAGGCACTGTTATCAAATACAGCAGAATATGAAAGCATTCTACCAAAGAGGCACTGAATGCATGTGTTCAAAGTTAAAATGCCAGGACACTACCTCAAAGGGGCAATTATGTGAATTCCAACCCCCCAAAATTGTCTTCTTCCCAACAGTATTACCCAGTTTGCCATCCTGTATTAAGGGAAAAAGGATTTTCATAATTTTCAGATATGTTGTAGCCTTCAGCATTGCTTTCAATTATGGTAAACCCAAAATACAGAGAACAGTAGTTTTAGCTGTGGATATAAAAGCCCACAGCAACAACGAAAGGGACATTGTATGCCTTCATATGAGGTGCTATCACCCCCTCAGCACACACATAAGGCTACACAGTCCTTGCCGTGGAATGACAGGATCTTCTCCCCTGAGATAATGCAGAAATACAGGGAAGTCTCTAAATTTGTCTTAATTAACAGAATCATACTGAGGCTAGAAACAGCACATCACATGAGGACAAGCGAAGTACGGGTGGGGGGAGATTTTGAAGTGCTCTAATTCAATTAGGCGGCAGTGACTGACACTTGGACAGGAGAGGTTAATTGGGGTCACCAAAATGCAGTAATTCCTTACCTAACCAGTCATTAAACTTCTTAACCTCTGAGGGCAGTCCCAGTTCGGTGAAATCGCCCGTGTGGAGAAGGATGTCCCCATAAGGCATCTGGATGCCATCTGTTCTGGAGTGTGTGTCTGAGACGCAGACAAATCGCGTGTGGCCCGCTGGTTTTGGAGTGTCATATGGGATGGGGTCGACCCTAAAGCAGACACATAAAGATCTTGTAATAGTTACAAGGTTAAAACCCTCACATCTATTATTTCAGATATCAACACAAATCTATCTCTACCTAAGCATGCACACACACACACATATATATATATATATATCCATTTACACACACCATGCTGAAAGAAATGACTCTGGAACACAATACTGTCAAAAGTCCAGAAAGGATCACAGTGCTTCTTAAATACTTACCTGCTAAAGAAGGAAGATTTAAAAAAATACATAAGATATGGACAGTTTCTTATAGCAAATTACTGAAGTTAATTTGAACATTGGAAAAAATTGATTAGAGAGACTTTGAATTCAGACATATTTTCTTCCATCACCCAATTATACACAAACAGGTACAGTGACTACTAAATGACAAGTCTCACGGGTGGGTCAGTAACAGGTTCTAACTCGAGCTGTGCAGCTTAGCATGTGATTTTGTTCAAGGGCACAGGCACTCCTACGGACACCATCAGGAATACTCGTTTACACACAGTCAGGTACATTCAGTTCTTTGATGAAGCCTGGAAATCACAGAACTGAGTCTAATGACAATTTCTTACCCTCAGATAAAATCCTGAGCTCATCTTACCAAAATCTATTAAGTCAGGAACTGATGTGGTAGAACACTAAGCAACCACAGATAAACCTTTTTTTTTTTCCTACAGCAAATGATATAAAAATTTAGTTCAATTGGCTATTTGCAAGCTAATTTGATCTTATCAATTATATGAGACCCATCATAAAAGTTTGGTCTTGAGGTGGTTCAGTTTCGATTTTTTTAAATTTTAGCAGAATACACCAAAATAATAGGGAAGCAAAGTGCTTTATGCATACTTGGTGGTTAGAAGTTCTAATTCGTAGCAGAATAACTTAGAGCACAAAAGGCAACGCATTGCCTACTTTGGAATGGTAATTATTTGTCTTCAGTTACCACAATTTGATTTGCTCAGCATAATTCAACATTTGAATACCACAGCATCTGGGTTAACACCACAGAAAACTCCACCCCAACTCCACAAAACTTCCATTCCATTAACGTGCCACTTGGATCATGTTCCTCAGCTAGAACTTTGGAGGTGTTGGGGAGTTATGTCAGAATAATAGTCCACTTAAATCTCAAATCATCAGAGCAGTGAAACCAAGCTCTAAGCGTTTTAAAGCATCCAAAACAATGCCTGTCTAAGACTTATTGGGACAAACTCGCACAACAAACACAAAATTAAATAGGTTTTATTGGTTTTGCTCTCTACATTGAATGAAAAGAAAAACAGCTAGCACACATCACTCTGAATCCGTTTTTCTTAAATCCTCATAGTCGCAAAGCAATGTATCATCAGTAATGGAAACCAAAGCACAAATCCTAACAAATAAAAATTTTTGAAATATTCCTTTACGCACTGAACTGTATTTACTATTTTTAGTAACTAAATTAGTATTTAGTATTTACTACACACTGAATTGTGTGAAAACTTCCATCAGTGTCTTTAACTTCAGCTCCCTACACAGGTGAGAAAGTCCAAAAACTTTCTCCAGGGAGCAATTCAGCTCCCTATGCTGAGGAGTTTATAGTGCTTCAAGAAATCAGACTCCATATGGATATGTACCGGTCTCCAGTGGAAAAACATCCATGCGGACACGCTTACTAACAAGACTTTATCAAGTCTTTTGAATTTGGTAGAATTTCAGCACAGCTAAAATTTCAGCACAGGGGGCAGAGGGGAAAGATATTTTTTGCTATACTACATTTTCCCAGGTACTTATAATTAAGTATTTCCACTCAAATTGCATTTATTACAAAAGTAACCACATTTAGTTGCCACGGTCCACTGAATTAATTTACAAAATCCAGGCTATACAAGATGATTTTTAGTTTAATACAGTCTTTTAATAATTTAAGACTTTAAAAATATATTCTACTGCAAACTGGACAGGATGAGAAGAGGCAGTTTGGCAGATAATGTTTTTTGAGTTCGGTATTGCACCTCCTGTTCCAAAGCACCAGGTACAATTAGTTGAACCATGTAACTGGTTACTACTACAGAAACACACCACAAAAATCTCAACTCCAGCAATCAATCGATCCTTCTCTGCAAAGGTCAGAAATTAATAAGGTTGTTATTACAGAGGAGAACTCATTTACCCATTGAAATCACGCTGGCAAGTGGGCCAAAACTGTAATTATAGGCCATAGTGCTCTTGTAGCCAGTGTCTTCCTCCCAATTACTGAAGGTAAGCCAAAACTTCTCCAATAGTATGTGGCACAGTAAACATGCGGGTCCCTGAATCCACATTCCCGCTCTTCCCAGTATGTTTACTCCAAAGAACACAAAAAATGAATGCCAGCTTCCATCACTACCGCTCACCTTGTTGAGATCCCCTCTGTCTGAGCTATGACCAGCACTGCCTGCCTCTGGGGAGTCCAATTTTGTTCGTACACAGCAGCTCTGCTTTTGCTATTCTCTGCAGTTTGTTTCCAAACAAATTCTGTTCTGCTTTAGGCAATCCCTATTAGAGCATGACACCAAAATCTGGCTTAGGATTGTTCTATTCATGGAGTAACTTACTTACAGAAAATTCTATAATCAAAACTCATTAAGATCCTGACCCTTCTTTACAAACACTATGATGTTGCCAAGTAACCTTTTTTCTACATCTTAGCTTAATTTCTTCTCTTATTCAGTAGTGCTTGCCTTTTAAGTATTTGAAAGTGAGATACTGAAGGTTATTGTGTTCAGCTCGTCAATTTATCTTACTCAAAACAGTCCTTCAATAGAAACTTAATAAAGGTGGTGTTATTGCCAGTCCTAAGGGCTAAAGTGTTTTTTTTTTTCCACCCACAGCTACAGTATGGCAAACAGTAATGAGAGATTTTTCTTCCTCACTGCATCACAAGAGGATTGGCCCCTGAACTTGCAAGATCAGCTACCACAGCAGGCAAGGCACTACCTTTTCACAGCTTTTGGTGACCCACTAGCAGCTTCTACCACCTGGGCTCTGGACATCATCCATTCTCCTGGCGATCTGCTCACCTCAGAGCCCAACATCTGGGGATTATAGACTGGCATTTCTAAAAGCTCTGCAACAGCTATGCATCTGACCCTCCCTGCAATTCAACAGGAAATAAAATAATTATTTCTGCCCTGCCCACCACCAGTCTCTGCTGAATCAGAGCACACACCTAAGAAATTTCAATGTAGTCTTTATCATTTGCTCCAAACACAGTGCATCCAGCTAACTCTGACACTCTCCATCGCTTTATTTTTTCAGTCTTCTTGAGCTGGCAGACTGAAACATTTTACATTTACATTTACAGCCTATTTGATCACTGCATTTGGAAAAGCGTGCTCATGGAAGGATGCAGTAAATGTTATTCCAGAATAATTTAAATGTTTGTACATTAGGATTAATATAGCAATCAAGAAATGGAAAACAATCTGACAAAATAGTCAAGTATCAAAATGAATGAGGATTTTTCTGCCTTAAGTTAGCAAATTATTTGGGGCACTTCCTTTACCAATAGCTATTAATAGGTGCTTATCTAGTGTAAGACACCGTGCACCTTATAAAATCAGGCACTTTGGTGTTTTGTCAAAAGTTTCTGTAAGACCCAGAATGAAATCCATTAGGCAGTTGAGCAATGACTGCTTTCTAAGACGACAGTAACCTGTCACATTTAATGCACTTACGACAATGGTTTAGGAATCAGAAGGGACCAAGTAATCCTCATGCACTTCTATAAGGACCTTGTTTATCAGATAATTATTTGGCTTCATTACACTGCCCTTGCCACCAGTTGTTCTCACTCAGAGTAAGAGGCCCTTAGGTACAAACCTGAAATTTACAGTTCCTCACACCTTGCTGCAGCTGAATCTGAGGACAACACAAACTCTGCTCCTCTTTGGCTTACTCAGCTGTCACTAATCAGGATCTTCCCCCAGAACCATGGTGACCACGGCACTGCCAAGCTAGCAGGGGGTGCAGGTGGGCAAGCCTGCCTCCTGTTACCCAGGGCAGCCCCCGCGCTGCACTGGCTGGGCTGCTGGCACCAGGGACCGCACGGGCTCAGGATGGACACTGTCCTCGACCACTAGACAGCAGATTCTGTCCTGGCTTTATGCCTTGAAAGAGGAGATTAGTAAATAAGCAACAACGGACAACGCAGAAGTTACCAAAGGGAACCTGACAGCGAGGTAGAAGCATTGAATTCAGAAACTCAGAGGAGGAGAACACTGGGCCTTACACACGACTGGAGGCAAAGGACTTGATTTAAGATGTCACACCATGGAACAGACATGTCAGTTGTGTGCTTCGGCCCAAGCTTAACGCTAGTTACCCATAATGAGGTCTTATAAATCAGCAGCGTTAGGAAGTACCTCTGAGACTGAAAGGTCAGCGCAGCCCTCCAAGAGACACAGCGGCAGGCAGAATTACACTGGGACCCTGTTTTCAGAGAAAATTTAGAAGACACAAGCACTATTTTTCTCAAAGAAATACAAGTTCAGATTGCAAAGGATAATTCTGCATGGGCGAGTTCAAATGCTGAAAAGACAGGGCTCTGGCTGGGTCGGCCGGTCCCTGGGAATGCCGGTGCTTCCAGAGCCGAACCCGCAGCCTTTTCCCTTCTCTGCTCTCTTGGGTTTTGAGATATGCAGACCCCAAATCCCCCCTTCTAGAACAATTCCCAAGAAACCAATTCATCCACGAAGACGGAATAAAAATCTTAAACATTAAGCCAGGAAGAATTTTCAGTTCCTAACGTTAAATAAATCACTCAGATGAATGCAGCATCTATGCTGGACAAAACATTTACAGATGCTGAAAATCTCTCCCCTGCCTCAAATCCTACAACTCAAACCAGCGCTACTTACTGCTTACAGTCCGCTACTTTTTAAGCTGGTTCTGCTGGCTTTGCAAAGGGCCAACAAGTCAGCAGTCAGAGCAGAAGATCACATCATTTTATTCTTTCCCAGGCTCACCAGA